TTTTCTTTTTGCTTATGTGGTGCTGGGGAATCGAACCCAGGGCCTCATGCATGCAAGGCAAGCGCTCTACCACTGAGCCACCTCCCCAGCCCCTACAGTTGTTTTTTTTGGTTATCTGATTTTTTTTAAATTTTTCTCTTGGATCCCATGGTGAATATGTCATAATAAGCAAGATTATGACAAAGTGTCAAGCCCAAGAGAATGTAGATTAGCATGGAAAGAAAACAAAAAAAAGGACAAAACCCAGAAGCTTGACCATTGCCTACAAGGCTCGATAGGATATAGGCCCTGGGTAATCCTCTCCAGCCTGCTTGAAACTAAAACTAGACAAAACAACAAAATGAAATAAACCCTAAATAAGCCTTCTGGGTTCACTTGCTTTTAGTTATTTGCTTTTAATTCACTTTTAAAAAGTCACTAATTTTGATGTCACTGAACAATACATATTATTAGTCTCCCATGAGCTTTGCTGTACGTAACAGCTCTGACGCACAGCTCTTAATGGCAATGGTTGCCTAGGCGACTTCTCAGGGCCTTGAAGATTCTCCCTTTTGGCCTGTGAGGGTATCTGTGGGATGATTTCTTAGACATCTAGGGGCAGAAAAACTAGCCTCAGATCATGACAATGCTGTGAGTGAGTGTCCGAACATATGTCGTATGAAAAGCTACGAAGATGAAATACACACATGCAGACCACTCTCCCTCATCTTCTACCACCATCCCCCCAACCTTACATCGCCCTTCTTTACCCCATAAATATCCCTAAATTGTACTCTCAGACTGGAGAATTAGAGACTGGCTCTCTTGTCTCCATGCTTGGCTGCCTAGTGAATCAACCTTTTCTCTTTTGCCAAGCTTGCCATTTCAAAGACTGTCTTACTGTGTGTGTGTCAGACTAAATGGGCCTAATTGGGTAAGTGTTCCCTCCCACACTACACTCCAGCCCCGCCTGCCTGTCTAGGAACTCATCTTTACTGAGCCTTTCCCTTCTGAGACCTCGTGGTTATGATATTGCCCTGGCTTCCTCCACTCCTTATAGATCCCTGCTTCACTACTCCAGTTCTCCTTGGCCACCCCCTAACCCAGCTACATACTCTAACCTAGCCATATACTCACCTGCCCTATTTCAGAATGTTCATCTTTATCTGTTACTCAATTTCCTATTTATTTGTGTATATGTACCCTCTCTCCTTTCCTTCCCTAAGCCACTCCAGTAAAGCCTCAGGAGATCAAAGATCTTACCAGCATTCTTCACTGTAAGTTTTCCCCAGTGGGAGGGCTGGCCCCATAATGGCTCAAAAATAAATCAATAAACCACTGAGTGAACAGCAAAAGAAAGGAAGAGGGGGAAAGGCCAGAAGAATATACTTGGAAAGATTGTTGTTTCTGCTTTTTTCCTTGCCTATTCTAGTCACACATTTCTTAAAACAGCTCTATTGAAAGATATGTGACATATCACACAATCTACCCATGCAAAGTACACCAAGTACAGCATGGCTTTGTATAGCTCAGAACTGTACAGCCTTCAACACACATTTAGGACATTTCCATCATCCCTCCAAAGAAAGCTCGTGACTCTTTAGCAATCACGTCCCCTTTCCCTCCTATCTCCTCACCTACTCCCCAGTTTCCAGTAACCACACGCAATGACTTCCTCTGTCGGTAGGTTGTTTTCACATCTCTACAGTACCTGTTGGTGTGAGGACATGGACAGACCCTGCAGGGTCCGTGAACAGCATTCCCATAGTGACCTTCCTTGCAGTGCTCACAGTGTTCTCCCGCAGTGTTGTGCTGGCAGTTCTTGGGAGAGATGAACAGGACAGTGAGTATCATCCTATTATGCATATTACTTTTGAGGTTGTTATAAACGGATGCAATTATTATTCAGAGCTGGGGGTAAGGTAGAGATTAAACCCAGGACCTTGAAAACACGAGAAGAGTGCTCTACTACTAATCTACTGAATCCATAGAGCATAATCTTACACAAGTATAACTTAAGTGCTCTAACTCTGTTCTGTGATATCAGTTTTGCCAACTATATACTTTTCCTGTCTAGTGTCTGTTGGCCTCATACATATTCCAAGCCATGACAGAGTAAAGAAAGATCAGCTGGGTTCATAGACCATGGTAATATTTCAGAATGTGTGGCCTCCTGAGCAAGTTTCTTTTTCTCTGAGCTTTATTATGTTTTGTGTCAATTTTACTGATGCATAACTACACACAAATGTAATTTTCTTAAAATGCACTATCAGAATAATGTGACTTTTCAAAGCTGCTGTGAAGATTTACAAAAGCAAAATGTACTAGGCCCTTGGGAAACATAAATTTTTCTTTCCTCTTCTCTTTACAATTGCTTCTCAGAAGATTAACTTCATTTTATCTCATAATTCACTTAACACAATGAATTGGAGGGCAATAAAATTTAGACAAATGGAATTTTGTGAAAACAGCATAAAATTGTATAGGATTTGAAGAAAGCACTCAACTTAAGTCCCAAGGAGCAAGAAATTGTTTCTAAGCATTTTATTTACACAAACCCAATGATCTTCATGTGAAAGTCTAACAGAAGTCAGTCTTCAGTAAAATGTTTTGCTGATACAACTTAGCAACCAAACAGGCCATTTACAAAGCCAAATGGTTGGGTTGGTTTTATTTTGTGGGGAATCTTGTTGTTGCTGTTGTTGTTGGTCAGTTGTGGGGGAGTCCTCATTTAATATAACACTTTTCTTGGTTTTACCTTACAATAAAGATCTGAATGAAGCTGGGCACTGGTGGCTCATATCTGTAATCCTAACTACTCATCAGAAGGCTGAAATCTGTGGATTAGGGTTAAAGCCAGCCTGAGCAGGAAAACTCTAAGAGACTCTTACCTCCAATTAACCAGCAAAAGCTAAAAATGGAGCTGTGGTTCAAGTGGAAGAGCACTAGCCTTGAGGAAATAAAGTCAGGGACTGTGCCTAGGTCCTGTGTTCAAGCTCCTCCAGAACCAGAAGGGGAAAAAGATTTGAATGAGCAACATCCCTAATTTCCCTTGCTATGAACACTGCTTGGAGATGTTTTCTGTAAATGAAAATGACCTGGAAATTTTGATTATATATTTTATCATGGTATAAAGCAGTGACAAGTCAAAAATTTTAATGGGTGTGTATTTTTAAATAATACCTAAGGCAAGACTGTGAGGAAAATACAAAATATATGTGTATCACAAGAGCATGTGACTTGTTTCTTCAGGTTAAATAAATTAATCCTTCTTGAATCTTTAAGTAACTGAGAATTACATAGAGCATGGTTAGATGGGAGAAATAAATTGTAGCATTTTCTATACTGTAGGGAAACTCTACTTAAAAATAATTTTTTGGGCTGGGAAGGTGGCTCAGTGGTAGAGTGCTTGCCTTGCATGCATGAGGCTCTGGGTTCAATTCCTCAGCACCACATAAACAGAAAAAGCTGGAACTGGTGTTGTGGCTCAAGTGGTAGAGCACTAGACTTGAGCTGAAGAGCTGAGGCTCAGTGCCCAGGCCCAAAGTTCAGGCCCCACAACGAACAAAAATAAATAAATAAAAATAAATAAATAAATTGTCTATTTCCAAAAAAAACATTTTGAATGTTTCCAACACCAGAAATGATATATGTTTGAGGCATTGGGTATCCTAATTACCCTGACTTGGACTATACATTGAATACATGTATCAAAATATCACATTAAATCTTGATTACAGAGTACAGGTCAATTAAAAGTTTAAGATGTTAAAAATAGACAAAGCATTATGATGTTAAAGAATCTTTCCATTATTTTTCTACATACAGAACTGTAAACACAGAAATGAATAAATATTTTAGAGGAGGAGGAGAGTCTTGAGTCAGGTACTATTCACAGGTTTCTATCTGGCGATCACTAAGGGCTTGCCCTGTGTACAATCCTTCCTTCTGCCCGCCCTCCCTCCCTCTCTTCCTTATTTCCATCCCCATATCTCACTGCAGTGTAGACCTCTCCTTTAGCAAATTGACCCAGTCATTTATCTGCTCCACAGAGGAGCTCTCTTGGTGTGTCAGGCGAGAGCACTAGTGGCTTTCTTCACCTTCCCTTCTCTTAGCTGCCCTGGTTCACTTATCCACTTTTTTGGCTAGGAATGTGGCTTAGTGGTAGAGTGTTTGCCTAGCATGCATGAAGCCCTGGGTTTGATTCCTCAGTATCACATAAAGAGAAAGCCAGAGTGGTGTTATGGCTCAAGTGGTAGAGTGCTAGCCTTGAGCAAAAGAAGCTTAGGAACAGTACCCAGGCTCTGAGTTCAAGGCCCAGGACTTGCAAAATAAAAAAGACATCCACTTTTTAAACTAATAATTTAGCTTCCCACCTTAGTTTTCTTCCTTTAGAAAGCAAATGGCAGATTTAAAGAATATGTTTGGATAGATGTCATTTAGCGCAGTGCCTACTGAGCTCTGTGACTAAAAACGTTAAAGAAACAGGAATCATACCTGGGGAATCTATATCCAAGGAACATTACTCTGACAACTGGTCCTCTCCAGATATGATGGGAGAGGCCCATGGAAGGGCTCAGACCAGTATTCCTTAATAAATGCTCATAAGAATGCCTGGAGCACTTTGCTGTCAGCTGAGAACAGTTTCCCTGGAAGCTGTCATTTTCCTTGTGCATCACTGTGAATGAATGAATGAGCCAAAGCTGCTGAGGCCCACATTCAGTCCTACAGAATGTGCTCTCCTACTGGACACCAGACATCCACAAGACATCTGCTACATACCCATTTCTGTTAAGTACAGGGAGCCAAAGATGGGTTGGTGTTTTGACTCAAGAGCCATAATTAACCCTGTAAATAGACACAGTCAATATAAGGCAGAAAATATGCTGACAGAGGTGAACCAGGAGAGCAAAAGCAGGGGATGCTGTGTGTTCTGCAGACTCTGGGAAGAGCTTGGGAGGAGTCTCTGAAGTGTAAGGGGAGACAGCTGCAGGGAAGCCCTGAGACCATACTAGCTTCTATCCAGGGAGTATCAGCTGTGAATTTGAGAAATTGTTTTTGGGCAGGGAGACAATGGATAAGAAGCAGGGAATGAAAAGAAAGGGATTGAAGAAAGAACATTGAGAAGAGGCCTGGGAACAGAGGGAAATGCTGTAGAATGGGTAACAGATGGTAGAAAGAATAGCAATGCGGAAGAGAGGAGAAAATAGAGGAAAAGAGTGGGGCCCGGAGAAGCAGCTGAGGCAGAGGTAAAACGGGGCTGCCCAGTGGCACTGGCTTTATACATCGGCTGCCAATCCTGCCCACATAGCTACACACACAGTGCTATACCAGCAAGGAGGTCAGCAAGCCTGAAAGACTGTTGCTGGTTTTTGTTTTTGAGATGAGGGTCTTACTATATAGCTCAGCCTGGCCTCCAACTCATGATCCTTCTTGCTGAGTGCTGAGATTACAAGCAAGCACCACCACACCTGGCCCAAACCTCAGAGTTTATTCATAGAGATTTGTAGGTGTGTGAAGCTACCAATTTTAGAAATTTATTTTAGACTGTTAGAGGTGGAGGTCAATTTGCAGCAAGAGTGTCCTGAAAGCCTATGTGATATGCAAAGAACTGTGGTTTCCTTGTCACTGTTCTTTGAAAATGAGACTTGCACCTTGGCTTTCATGGAATAGGCCGATTTCAGAGCTGAATCAGCACTCAGACTCATCACTGAGTAGTTAATTGAGTGCAGACATGGGCGCTGAGTGTGTGTGTGTGTGTGTGTGTGTGTGTGTTGTGTGTGTGTGTGTGTGTGTGTGTATACAGTGTCTGAGCAATAAGGATCAAGTCTGATGTTTTTTTAACTCTAGCACTTAGCCCAGTAGCTGTCACATTTGCAAATGCTTTGTTCCTATGGGAGGTAGGTAAACACTGAGCTAGAAAGGAAGGGAACAAGAAACAACTATGAATGATGAAAAGAAAACTGGAATTGAGACTCATAGACCAGCCTTTTTATGGATGACTGGATGCTAGAGAAAAAAACCTCCTTTCATTCCTTGGCAGGTGTTACAAGGTGGATTTGACATCAAGGAATGGTCCAGTGATGAGATAAATATTTATTTTTAAAGCACCCACCTGTGTTCCACACAGCATACAGGATCAAACATGGAATACTTAGGAACTGGAAATCAAGCATTGCTGAGGTCTTTTATTCTTTTTGAATTTATATAATCCAACAAAATGTTCTATCAGCGACCCTTTACAACGCTTTCTTGTGCTGGCCTGCCCTGTCTTGCAGAGAAAGCAGATCCCAGAACATGCCCAGCTGGCTCAGTATAGTCTAGGAACTCAAGAATTTGTCCCACACAATGCAAAGGAAGTGCCTGTCAGTGGAGTGCATTTTCAAGAGGGCACCGCACAACAGGGGCCCTGGATTCCTGGAAGGGCAGCTCTCTTCCTCCCCAGACTGCAGAGGCCCTGGCTCCCAGGAAGAACTCCAATCAAAGGAAAGAGAGGAGCAGAATATTTGTTTGTTTGTTTTAAAGACTCTGCTTCAGGATGCAAAAGAAATAGTTGCTAGGAAATGGATTTTTTGCGTAATTGTATAAAATAATTGTACAATTGTATAGAATAATTCATTTGCCAGTGGGTAAGCGATAGCCACCCAAGGTTCCTCTAAAACCTGCTGAAAACTCCTTACAAGACACATTAAGCCTGAGGATGCCCTGAGAAGCAGAGGGGGTCTGGAGGAGTCCCCTCCCCCACCCCTTTCCAACAACCCCACTTAATCGTAGAAATGGCAGACAGTTTGTGATTGACACTATGAGCCAAAGCCTTTCTCAGCAACTCTTTCTCTCCTGGTGCCTCATATTTTTTTGGGGGGGTGGGGTGGGGGTTAGGTGGGGGTAATAGTTGTACTGAGGTTAAAACCACATGCCTAAAAGGAAGGTACTCTACCAATTGAAGCTTCCCCTGGGGTTCTGGCTAATTTTGAGGTACAGCTTTGTTTTGGGCCTGGGCTAGCCAGGACCACAATCCCATTTGTGCTCCCTGTTAAAGCTGGGATGACAGATGTGAACCACCACACCCAGCTTTTTCTTTTGAGATTCAGATCTCATCACCCTTTTTGCCCCACAGTCTTAATCTCAGCCTCCTAAGTAGGTGGGGTTGTAGATGTGAGCTACTGCACTTGGCTCCTGGTGGCTTTCTTGAGTTACTGCTAATGTGATAGCAATAAGTCCTCTTCCGTGACCTCTTGCCACCCTACCAAATTTGGGGCCCAGAGTATCAACTCTGATTTTTTACCTACTGACAAGAGTTATGCCTCTAGATCTACCAATGGGTATACTATTTAGTGAGGCAGAGATGTCAAGGCTAAATTCATATTACTTAATGAGGCAGAGATGTTGAGGCTAAGGTTTCATGCAAATGTCCACACATGTGTTCTCTTCTGGTGTGGCACAGTAAGACAATGGAAAAAGTAAAATCTGAATGGCAGGATCCAGCCTGATGATGCTGGGGTCTCTGCATGGTCATAGCAGCTCTAATTTAGGGTTTCATAGGAGATGTGATATTGGCATCTCAGGGCATAAAAGAGGGAAAAGGAGAAACAGAATGTTGGTAACATCAGACTTGATTTACTCACAATGCATATTCCAGAGCCATCCTGGCAGCGATTTGAATGTCCATTGCAATTGCAGGGAACACACCGTCCAGCGTACAAGCCGTTGTTTTCCCGATAGTATCCAGGGCTGCATCCCTATTTGTCAAACAAAAAATTTCATCAATTCTAAGAAAGAGAATAATTACTTTCCCAAGCCTGGGATCATTCTGGGCAGGAAGCAGTGAGGGTATGGTTTGTAGATTTCTCATGTCAACAACCAGTAACCAGGTACTTTTGTTTTGTTGTCTATGGTGCTAATTCCATGGAGGGAAGGAACTCAGAAAGGGTAGGGCTGGGATGGGAATGGGGCCCTCCCTCTTCACAACAGTTTCTTTAAGGGCAGGCCAGGTGATATAAAAGGATGAGAATAAAGTTGGGCCCTGGTGGCTCATGCCTATAATCCTAGCTACTCAGGATGCTGAGATCTGAGGATCAAGGTACAAAGCTATCTTGGTCTGTGATATTCTTAATCACTAAAAAGCCAGAAGTGGAGCTGTGGCTTAAGTGCTAGGGCATGAGCCTTGAGCAAGCCCCTGAGTTCAAGTTCTAAAACCAGCATGTACACACACACACACACACACACACACACACACACTGGGAGTAAAGAGGATCAGGACCCTAGTCCTTAGTGGAGAGAGCAGTTAAACAAACCACCTCAAGTTCAACTTTTTTGGATAAAAAGAACTATTGTCTTCATTTCATGTACTCATCTTTTTAAAGGTTTCTATTTAGAAAGCCTCCAATAGATCACAAATGATTATTATGGTACTCATTAAAATTATTTAGGCTTCAGTGTTTAAAGAGGATTATAGACATGTTCTTTGATGGGGCAAACCAGTGCCTAGATTAAAATCAGACATTGTCCCAAGTTTGTTGAAGTATTAGGAAAAAGCAATATTTTCAGATACAAGTCTTTTATACAATTCACTATAAGGCTATGAGTAAATCAATTAAAATGGGAATGAAATGGTCCATCCACTCCCATCGACGGCCATAAAGGGGACAGGAAGAAGTCCCTGAGAGGGGAAGGTCATATGCTTCCCAGGATGGAACCTCAGTCCCTTCCAAAACTTATTCCAAAATTACCCATGACTGCAGATCCTACACAACTAACTATAGAGCATGATTCCCAATCCATGTTTAGGCAAAAGAACAGATTGAATAAAATCAGATTATTCTCCATGCTATACGAATAGGCTTGTCTGAAGGAGAATCAAAGCCTGAAAGGAATGTTCTTTTGCCAATAACTCAGCTGTTGGATACATTGGAATAAAAATAAATTCAGCCAATGACGTGTGATCATTATTTACAGCAAGTAGGCTGCACTATTAAATGATAATACCCTTAGGGTTATTTTGTTATCACCATATATCACATTACCTGCTTATAAAAGAATTATATGTGGTAACAGACTCCTCAAATAAACAAATAGATAGTTTATAGCAATATACTTGAGTAAAAGCTTTAATTAAACATGGGTTGGAAAAGGAGAATCTAAACTGATCAAATCATCCATCTTGATTTGCTTTTTAATTAGAAGCAGGAAAAATACTGTGACTTGCAGAGCATCTGTCATTGAGGCTCTTTTTTTACCTCTACAAGGCAAGTAAACACATTTTACACAAGATTCAAATATTCAGGCTGAAGACTTATTCTAGGTGAAAATGAAGGTATCTAAATGTATTACTTCAGTAGATTGATTTGGTAACGAATTTCAAAGTTCTAGAAAGTGATCGTTTATCAAAAGTCATTTTCCGGGCAATATAGTTTATAGTTTAAAACTACTCTGTTTCCAAGGCTATTACAGCAGCTGTGGGATCTCTTTCACTGTAAATACTCATGTGACATCTGGGAAGTTTAAAGAAAGAACTGAACTTATGAATTGTTTCGTGTGTGGCAAATCAACCCAGGCCTGTTAGATAAGCAAACTTTGACGGCTTTTCTTAGGCATTGATTTGATCATTTCTCGTGTTTTACTTGGTGGAAGAATTTTCTTCCAAGCCGAGTTTGGAAACCTATAGGTAGTGAATTCTTTTGTCCTCACGTTTGAGTCATTCCCTAAAGGGCACGAAGTTTCAGTGTATCAAGATCCCACAAGCCGTCAAGCTCTTAAACTGTCTCGCCTTTCCAGGTGGGCTCCTGTTTATAGGGCTTGTGGTTAATAGCACAGGAGAGCAATCTGTCAGGTACTGTAATAAACACTGCCAGTCATCATGAAAAGGAAGCCATCAAAGCCTCTCCCCTAGCCCACCCATTCACTCCTTAATCATCCTCACTTAAAATGTCACAGACCTGAGAAACAACCCCCTTCCCCATCCCAGACCAAAAAAATCTCAGAGGGATATTACCTGGCTGGGTCTAAGTTCCACATAACTTGCTTGTAGATGATTTTGACCTGGAGGCTGAAGAAACTCTACCCTTTGCTGCTCTGAATTGTATCCCAGACACTGTCCCAGGACTGTCCCCCAAATCCATAGCCAACCTGTGCTCCAGGCTGACCACTTCACTGCTGGGGGCATCCTGGTCCCGGGGCTTCCTGCCGGCTGCACAAAAAAAAACCTGTCTCTGCCTCTTATACCTGCCCTTCCTGCTCAGTGCCCAGGCCTGCCTGACTCAGGGAAGGAAGGCTGTCTGCGGCAGGGGGCCCCACCTTTAAACTTCACACATGAGTCAGCCTGTGCCAGAGCACACATAACAGTCCCGCAGGTAAGCGCACCGCTCTGTAATTCCTGTGAGGTGGTGCAGACGTTGCCTTCTCCCCACTTTGCCCCACAGACAGCTCTAGACGATTAGAGCAGCCATAAATCATAGGCTGAGTCACTGCACAACACACACCCTGAGCATGAGGCGGGCAGTCCAGGCTCCTTTCTTCTCCTTGGGCTACCCATTTTCATCAGGCTGGAAAAGCAATGAAGGCAGCTGAATACAGGGGAACCTCATGAGCTAACTGTCTGAAGAGTCTCAAGAAAGCCATGGCAGGCAATGGTAGCTCATACCTGCAATCCTTGCTAATTCAGGAGGCTGAGAACTGAGGAACACAATTGAAAGCCAGCCCAGGCAGGAGAGTCCATGAAACTCTTAGCTCCAATTAACCACCAAAAGCTGGAAGTGAAGCTATGGCTCAAGCGGTAGAGCACCAACCTTGAGCTAGTGCCAGTGGCTAGGCCCTGAGTTCAAGCCCAGTACCAGCACAAAACAAACAAACAACTAAATAAATGAAAACCATGGCAAGGAGTGATATTTTCTGGATTAAAAAAGTAGAAGAATCACCTTTAGGCTTTTAGGGAGTATGGAAAGGAAGCTCAAAGTTTTGCCAGTTTGCACATTTTTGGTATATGGAATACACAGACTGATGATGTTTGCTATTTCCTACTAATTTTACTAACTGTGCTTTTCTCTCCTCCGCACTGAAGAGAATAACTTCACAGCTTGAGATGTATACTAAGTTTCATTGTATGGTACATTTTAATCACTCAAGCCAACTGGGCCTTACACAAGCTCAGAATTTGCTGAGAGCTAGAAAACTGGAACATTGTTCCCCCTACGGACTCCCACTCAGTTCCATGGTGGCTGGATTAGAGGAATTGGAGACAGGCATCAGTACCCTGGGTTCACTCATGGGCAAATGGTATACCTACTGAGATGCTGAGCAGGAAGTTCCTTCCCACTTCTGACTTCCATGGCCCCTGGGTAGTCTAGGTAAGACATAAGCTCTAGTCCAGCAGAAACCCAGGTGATGGACAGAGTGCCTCAAGCCATCCTGTAGTTCTGGATGGTAGCCAGAAAAGCCAACCACAGATGTTGCCCCCAGGGAAATGCCAGGGATGACGGGGAAAACTTCCTACCTGACATGAATCACCCGTATAGTCAGGGGGGCAGGCACACATCTCCACAAGATGTGCTCTGCGTCCACTTCCTGTGTCGGAGGCCTCCTCCAGCCCCACCTTGCCCAGGGTGAGCCGCTGGGTCTCGGTGAAGTAAAGACCACGGATGCGCAGCCCCTCCAGTCTGGACAGCACTCCCATCAGTTCTGCCCTGGATACCGGGGTGAGGCTGCCAGCATGTCTGAAGTTTCCCTGCATGGGTAAATGGAAAGATGGGGTTCCACAGGCTAGCTCCCCTTCCAGGGCGCTCAGTGAGTACTCCCCAGAAAGAATCAGAGAGAGGAACTTGAAGATGCATTAAAATATATCAATTTGGAAAAAATTATATTAAGTGAACTAAGCCAGGCCCAAAGAAACATAGGTCCCATGGTTTCCCTTATTTGCAATAACTAGTATATGTCTGAGATAAGCAGAAATGGTCAGACAAGTTGA